GGTATGCACGGCCAGGCCTTTCTTTCCGTTTTTAAAGGCAGGGTCTGGACATGCAGGCAACCCAAACTGACCTCAGTCTCACGATCCTTCTGCCTCTGCCTCTTAAGTGCCAGGACTCCTGGTGTAGGTTACCACACCCAACATTCCAAAAGTGTTTTCTATGTGAATCAGAATTTGGGGTTGTTCGGGGCCTTCTCATCAAAATCACACTTTTTTTTTTTATTGCCTCAAGTACATGATGTTATCCTGCTAGTCAGAAAGCCCCTCCCCTCCTGCTCACAATTCAGTTGTATTTCCTCTCCCAATTTAACCTTTACTGGGATTTTTTGGGTTTTGGTTTGGTTTGGTTTTCGGTTTTTTCCTCTGTGTAGCCTTGGCTGTCCTGGAACTCACTCTGTAGACCAGGCTGGCATTGATCTCACAGAAATCACCTACTTTTGCCTCCCTAGTGCTGGGATTAAAGGTGTGAACCACCACCACCTGGACGTACAGGGAACTTTACCTCATTATTATTAATCCCACCTTGCTCCAAATGTGGAGCTCTCATCCTACACTTGACAGTAAAAGTATTCATTTCCCATGTGCCTCGTAGTGACTACATATTGACATCAGTGCTGATAAGCCTGATGGGTAGCAAGTTCCATGAGGACACAGAGCAGACCTTCTGATTGGTAGCATCCCTCTCTCTCTATGTGTGTGTGTATGTGTGTGTGTGTGTGTTTTGCTCAGTGGTCCTGAGCAAGTATTTTGGACTGAGATTAACTGCTGAATACTTCCTCCAGTGTGAGTAATAGGGATGAAGTATTTCTTTGAGACAGGGTCTCATTCTGATGTAGACCTCAAACTCCCAACCCTCCAGCCACCACCTCCCATGTAATGGGCTCTCATTTGTGAGCCAACATACCCAGCTAAGGGATTAAGGAATTTTAAGATGAATCTGTGCAGATGTTTCTGACCCTCCTACTTTTATCCAGGCTGAGTTTTTCCAAGGGAGGAGTCTCACAAAAAAAAAAAAAAAGTCTCTGCACTTGAAAAGGGATTAGCGCCGATGGGGAGTACCTCTCTGAGCTCCCCCAGACTGACTAGGTATAGCCACCCCAGTTCCCATCACATAAACATGACACATCATGGCAGCGTCCTGTGAATAATGCCTTACTAACAGAACCGAGCTGAGTTTCCAGGTAGTGACGGAAGGGACATACATCATCATCGTGGAACAAATGAAGAAAAATGTGACAAGAAGGCTCAGGCCCACTTTTCACCGAGGGTAGAGCATCCCGTTCTAGTGCTAAACAAAGCAAGTGGACTTTAATTGAAGGAGAATGCGCAATAAAACACTGTAGACCACTGTGTGTGGTGGCATAGCCCCGGGATCCCATTACCTTCAAGGCAGGTGGGTCTTTGTGTGTTTGGGGGCAGCCTGGTTTACATAATGAGCTCCAGACCATAGTAAAATCCAGTATGAAAAAACAAAACAAACAACAACCAAAAAAAAAAAAAAATTAGAGAGATGCACCCTGTTAAAGAAGAAAAACATCATAACATGGGAATGTTTAAAACAGAGATATAGGAAACTAAAACAACAAAGTTGTAGCCTTTTCCCTGGTGTTGAGTGTGTACCTCATGTTTGTCAGCGTGTGCTTACAGGCAGAGGCCAGAGGAAGACATTGATTGCTTACTCCATTGCTCTCTACGTTATTCTCTTAGGACAGTCTCTCACCGTATCTGAAGCTCAGTGTTCTAGTGGACTGGCTGGCTAGGAAACTCCCAGGATCTGCCTATCTCTCACCGACCCTGGGGTTACAGACAAGCACGGCCATACGTGGCTACGTCCCAGGTTTTACATGGGTGCTTAAGATTCTAACTCAGCTCTCCGTGTTTACACATCAAGCACTCTTACCACCGAGCCGTCCCCTCTGTCCCTATAGACTTTGAAAAATTGGTCCTTGGCAGACGTCAAGATCTCAAAAATGTTTTCTGGATACTTAAATGGAAACACTGCCTATCTTCATACCATTCATATCTTCATTATTAACCAAATAATTCAGATCCCCTAACTGTTTGTCAAGCACTTTCTGTAACGGCAGTAAGTAGTTTGGGCTCTGGAAGCCATGACTTTGTAACATAAAAGTAGCCATAAATAATACAAAAACAAAAGAGCATTAGTATGTCCCCATGAAAACTTTTTTTTTTTCTTATTTGTTTTGGGGTTTTGTTTGTTTGTTTTTCGAGACCTGAAACTCTGTAGACCAGGCTGGCCTTTCCTCTGGAGTGATGGGATTAAAGGTGTGAGTCACCACCACCACCCAGCCCCAATGAAACTCTTTAATCCCAGCACTTGGGAGGCAGAGGCAGGTGGATCTCAGTGAGTTTGAGGCCAGCCCGGTCTACAGAGTTCCAGGACTGTCACACAGAGAAACAGGAAAGCCCTATCCCAAAGAAAGAGAGGGGTGGGTGGAGACTCCTTATTAAGAAGGAAAAAAATAAAACTATGGGCTATTTTGAACAAATAGATCATAGTTTGCTACCCCTGCGCTATCCGATGGAATTTATCCAAACGGTCATGAATGTTTACCAAACCGCCCGAGTGTCATTCAGAACACAAAGAATCTGAAAACTCTAGCCCCACAATCATGGTACAGTGGGTCACACCTGCACTCCCAGCCACTTGACACGGTGAAAGTGGAGTCTGGAGTTTGGAATGCTCCAGGTCAAGTGATAAAGGCTTGGTCTCAAAGTGAAAGGAGGGAGAGAAGGAAGAAAGGCCATGAAAACAAGCATAAAGCAGGCATGGTGATGCATGCCCTAGTCTCAGGCTGGGAAGCAGAGTTTAAGGTCTCCATGGTCAATTCCAGGCCAGCCAGGGCCACAGTGAAACACTGACTCAAAATGGGGAGGAGGGGTATACAAACACTGTCTGAAATCCCAGCACTGAGAATACAGGAGTAAATCTGATTGAGGGCAACCTGGTCTACACAGTGAATTCCAGGTCAGTCAAGGCTATTTCAATCCCTTTCCTAATACAAGAGCAGGAGCTGATGAGATGGCCCAGTGGTAAAGGCGACTGCCGCCAAGCCTAAGGACCCGAGTTCCATACACAAGACACCTGGTGGCAAGAGTAAACGAATTCCCTCAAGTGTCCTTTGGTCATCACATGGGCACTGTGGCGTGCTCACACCTACAGACAGACAGACAGACAGAGGGGAGGAGGCTCAAACAAACAAGAAAAAGGTCAGCCTTGCCCCAAATGAAAATCCTGTTGGGTTTACTGCCCACTGTGTGATCTCACTGGTCCATCTATGGACCTCAAGAAAGAACAAACAGCAGAATCCTCCACCAGCGCTCCTCCTCACGCTCTGTTACCTCGCAAGAATGGCATGGAATTGGAAATGCAAGTTTTCAGCCAGCTGCTGAAGACTGCGACCGCAAAGAAGCAACAGAGACAGAGAATCTAGGATCTACACAGAAAACACACTTGGGGCATCCCCAAAGGCCCCCTCAAGGTAAGGACCTCAGGGGATAGGTGGCTGCTTGATATGTTAAGCGTTTCTGCAAAACCCAGGAAACATTGGCCTGCCTGGGGCCAGGCAGAGAGCCTTCTTGGGAAATAAGTCACAGAGATGGCGCTGGCCATTCCCTTTGTGCCTGGAGGCCAGCCTCTCCATTCTCGCTTTGATCCTAGGGCAGTACCAACCCTTCCTCCCCTTCCTTCTCTCTCTCCCAGTGGCAGCCAGTGCACAAACCCCCAAGGGTGGAGTGCTGGCCTCACCCTCCCTCCAAGTCCCCAAGCCATTGTGTCTGAAGTGGCTAAAGAATTCTCCTTCAAGAATGAGCTCAGAGCAGTGGCTGATTCCAAAGGACCCTTCACAGGCTTCAGCAAAAGCCTCTGAGAAGAAAGCTAGGCTGGAGAAAGGTCGGGAGTGCGGGTCCTTCCGATTTCTGGAACCAGGCAGGCTTTGCCATTTAGGAGCCTTCACTACCGAAGTTTAAGAGACAATTTTGGTCAGGTGTGGTGGCCAACACCTATAATCCCAGCACTCTAGAAGCTGAGGCAGAAGGATGGTTAACAAACTTGAGGGCAGCCTGAATAAAGAAAAACAAAACACTGTTTCCTGTCTTCAGACTCAGTGAGGTGAGCCAGCCTCCTGCCGCTGCCTGCCACGGTGCCCTGTGCTTCTCCTCAAGGGCTCCCTCTTGGTTTTTCTTGGTTTTGTCCTGTCACACACGAGTGTGAGGTCTTTGAGGAAGATCTGGACATCACTCTTTGAGCCCTCTGTCCTTTGAGAAAGACACAGCTTACCCTCCCATCCCCCACCCCACCACAGGCATACACATACACTCTATTCATCTACAGTCCCTTAAAACTCTGATGTGAGTTGAAAGCTCAGTAATAATTCATCTTTCAATGTGCGGGGCTGTGGTGGCTCACGCCTTTAATCCCAAATCCCAGTGCTCGGGAGGGAGAGGCAGGTGGATCTCTGAGTTCAAGACCAGCCTGGTCTACAAGAGTTGCTAGTTCCAGGACAGCCCCTAATGCCACAAAGAAACCATGCCACCGAAGGGAAAAAAAAATCTTTCACCAGAGGCTCAGCGGCAACTGGGAGTAGCCTAGTGTAGTTCAAGAAGGATACCTTTTCATTTCAATATTTAAAAACATTGTTTTATTTTTTGAGACAGGGACTAATAGCCCAAGCTGACCTGGAACTTGGTATGTAGTCGAGGATGGCATTGAACTCTTGATCCTTCGGCTTCTATCTCCCAGGTACAGGATTACAGGCCTGTGCTATAATTCGAGACTGCTTGCTTATTGGTCTTTCCCCTCTGGTTTAGCCTGGGAAGCCCAGAGAATGCACTCCGAGGTGAGTGAAGCTAAAGGCATTCCTTTCTCGGTTTTATCTGTTTCTCCTAGCCAGCTGTAGTCATCACAGGCTGTCCTACCCCAGGGCTCCCGGCACCGCACTCTCCGGATTTAAAGCTGGGGCCGCGCGTGCCCCTCTTACCTGAGCGCCGCGGCGCGGGGGTGGGGTGAACCGAGAACTCGCGACTCGCGCGTGGGAAGGGAGAGCGGAGCGTGCGACCCCTGGCTGCTGGGCACTTCTCGGGACGCAGGTCCCGCCTGGGCCGGGCAGAGCAGTTATAAAGGCTTCTGCCGCCCGAGGGAGGGAGAGGGTGAGCCTAGGGACAGGGGGCGGGGCGGGGCGCCTTATCCAGTTCCGCGGCCCTTCTCGCTGCTGTGAAAATAAAGTCACCGCGCCAGAGAATGAACCGAAAGCCTCCCTGACGTCAGAAGCACAGTCACTCATGAAGTAAGGTGGCGGGGTTGTGGGGTAGGCACCCGAGTGTGCCGTGCGCAGCCCCCCACGACGAGCGCCCCAGTCAGTCCAGGAGCGCCGGTCAGATAAAGGCCACACGGTGAAGCCAGCTGTGGATGCGCGCTGCTGGCTGCCATCTCCTACAGGGAGCCACACCCATCCTCCCCGAGGGCACTGCGAAGCCCCGGGGGCAAAGACCTAGCCAGCAGCTCCTTGCCGTTCCTTTGTTACTTTCTGCGGGAGAAGTAGGTCTTCATTTCCCCTCCCGTTATCACTCCTTCCTCCGGTGTGCACGGAGCCAGGCTTGAATGAAAAGAGATGGCCACCCTCGTGTGGGTCCCCCGAGTCAGGGCGGAGGAGGTAAAGACCCAGGAAAAGTCCCCTGGGACCCAAAGATGGTTCAGCAAGGCCACTTGTTGGAACTGCGGTGGCATAACCAGCTTAGAATAGCGCTGCTCTGAGAGATCATAGCGCGGTCTTCCTAAGCAGCTCCCCACAAGTTTGGAAAGCAGGTTGGTAGGAGGAGGACAGCAGATAAAATTTTGAAACGAAGGAATTCGCCTTTGGTGTCTGATTCCACCTGTCTGGGCAGGTGCCCGCAGCTCCTCCATTATGGAGACAGTGTTGCTTACGGCTGTTCAGTGGTCAGAAAGTCCTGGAATGTGTTGTTGGACTGGGTTCTAAACCCCGACGCCTTGGTGGGCTTGGGGAGCTGGACATTTAAAGCCTAGGACAGTGGTTCTCAACCTTCCTAATGCTGCCTGCGACCCTTTAATACAGTCCCTCATGTTGCGGTGACCCCCAACCATAAAAATTTTCATTGCTACTTCATAACTGTAATTTTGCTGCTGTTATGACTCGCAATGTAAATATCTGTTTTCCAATGGCCCTGTGAAAGGGTTGTTCCACTCCCGAAGGGGTTTCAACCCACCAGTTGAGAACCACTGCCCTAAAAAAAAAAATCTCCTTTCTTGGCTCCACACCCTTAAATGCTTTTTAAAATGTAACAAGCTGGAAACAGGAGGATCCGGAGTTTGAAGTCATCGTGGACTACAAAAATAAAATCAGAAAGGGGACTTGGTGCAAATGGCAGCTCATGCCTGTAATGTCCGCATTTGGGAGGCTGAAACAGGAAGATGGCCACCAGCCTGCACCACATAGGGAGTATGGGGACTCCGGGCAAGAACCTGCCTCAGAAGGGCACAGGAGGTGGCTTAGCCAGAAGAGCGTGTGCTGCCCAGTCTGATAACCCAAAATCCACATGAAGGTCTAAGGTCAACGAAGTCCAAGAAGAGAACCAAGATGGGAAGTCTGTCCTCTGACCTACACACAACCACCATGGTGAGTGAAACACACACACAATGCAATAGAAGAAAAAGAGACAAAAACTCCTCATGAGCTTATGTTGCGGTGTGCCTGCAAGGTGCTAAGTTCAAGCCCCGATGGAAACACTCTGAGTCTTTGGAGACCATGCCTCTGTTGATCTCATGCCTGGGAAACCAAGGCCAGTACTCGGCCATTTCCCTAGAGGCCTGCAGGTCAGAGGTCTTCCTCTCCTGGAGCTCATCAAGGGACAGGGGTCTTTGAGAATGACGGGGCTGGAAAGGGCTTCTCTCTGAACTTCTACTATATTGTCTACAAAAACTTGAACTAGACCATTGCACAACAGAGCCATACATAACCAGTCTGCAAATTCTGATGCATGTGTACAGTGAACAGCAGTGTCCAGCAGCTGAGTTATAAGAAGTACAAAGACATAGGGAAGCTGGGCATAGTGGCTCACATCCATGTGCCAGCACTGTTATCGATTCAAGCCTACATAGTAAGTGCCATACCTGAGCTATAAAGTGAGACCTGATCTCAAGAAGAAGAAAAAAATTGAAGAAATGAGAGAAAAAAGAATTAAGTTTATTATATATTTAAATCAATAGATTCCAAATAGAATCATCTCAACACATTATCCATTTTTTTAAAATATGAGGCCAGGGGGTGAGGGGGATGGAGAGATGGCTCAGCCGTTAAGAACACTGATCTTCCTGGAGACCTGAGTTCAATTCCCAGCACTCACGTGGTGGCTCATAACTGTAACTCCAATTTCAGGAGACCCGATGCCCACTTCTGGCCTCTGTGGGTACCCATTACACACACAGTACACAGACAAAACACTCACCCACAGAAAACAATTCTTTTTAATGAAGCAAGGGGCAGGTGAGAAGGATGGACAGCTCGTGGGTAAAAGTGCCATCATGAAATCTGATGTACTGAGTTTTATCCCGGAGTCTCACACAGTAGGAGAGAAACAACTTCTGCAAATTGTCCTCTGACCTCCACATGTACTCACACACATGTGTGTTGTGGCATGTACTCACACAATAAATAAATAAGTGCACAGGTAAATATAATTTTAAATTGGTTTTAATTATAAATAAATAGAATACAAAACTAGACATGACCATGTGTGACCATAATCCCAGCACTTGGGAGGCTGATACTGGAGGATGTTGAGTTCAGTTATATCCTGAGCTACACAGTGAGGTTTGGTCAAAAAAAAAAATATTAAGTTATTTTGCATTACTTTGTGAAACTATGTCCTCAAAAGTCCAAGCCAGTTTAGACCAGACACATAGCAGGGGTTCAAAAGTCATGTGTGGCTAGTGGCTGCCACCCAGGGCAGCACAGTGCTAGCTGTCATTGAGGGCACTTCCAGCCCTGACATTTTAGGGTCTGAGTCACGACGTCTGGGGTGAGGCTCATGACATCAAGCGTAAGATGTAAGGTCTGAAGTGGAGGCAAGAGCAGAGGAGCCAAGATTTCTTCTATGCCACCCACACTTTACCTGATGTCCATTACACTCTAGAATCTAGAGTCTAGCTGATGCCTGGCTGGTCCAGGCCTACAGCTAAGAGATCCTTTGTATGGGAAGGCGCTCTCTCTCTCTCTCTTTTTCTCTCTCTCATCCTTATATTTCACTTTGTCATTGACTTTGGATGCCAACCTGTCATGTAGGAATTTCCTTCCCTCATGGAGGAAAATCCATAAGCCTCGGGGAGCTAATGAGAGCTGCACAGCCCCACCCCAAGGTTACATAAGCAGTTAACAATTGTTAGAGTGGAGACTCTAAGGTGAAGATGCCTGCAAGCTGGGCAGAAAGCTCGGAGGACACGTTTATGAGTCATCGCCCAGTGCTGGAGTGGACTTTTCAGGGCTACCTTTGAGTCACCCATACTCCCCTAAGTCACCCTTTAACCATGCCCCTGTAAGGAACCCAGTGAGCACATTGGTTCACTTGCTTAGACTTGGGTGGAACTGTTTCTTCGGGCTATAATCAGTACCCTGTCTAGACTGAGCAGACATTTGTTCATTTCACCCTGGGGAAAGTCCTGGAACACTGCCTTGTCCTTTAAGCACCCTCTCCTATCCTCCTTTGGTTTTTAAAAAATGTATTTTGTTTTATTGCATGAGTGTTCTGCTTGCATGTATGTATTATATATGTGTATGTTTATGTGTACCATGTGCAGTCCTGGTACACAAGGATATCAGATCCCCTGGCCCTGGAGTTACAGATGGATGTGCTGGGAATTGAACCCGGGTCCCCTGGAAGAGCAGACAGTGCTCTTAACTGCTGAGCTATATCTCCAGCCCCTGTATTTGTTTATTATAAGTTATTTATTATTTATTTGTGGTACAGGGGCTAGAACCCAAGGCCTCTTTCCTCTTGCATGTGAGGCAAATGTTCTACCTCTAAGTAAGATATATCTCTAGCCCCCCAAATCTCTTTCTGAGATAAAGTCTAGCTTTTTATTAAACCAGTCAGAGTGACACATCTACAGTGTACAAGAAGATTATTCCACAACACTTGAATTCGCTATCTAGCCCAGGATGGTCTTAAACTCAGCAATCTCCTTGCCTCAGCCTCCCATTGTATGAACTACTATGGGTGATTCATGGGCCAGCTTCATAAACAATGTGGGCTGATAAGATGGTTTAGAGGTTAAGAGTACTGGTTGCTTTTACAGAAGACCCAGGTTTGGTTCCCAATACCCACATGTCCAGAGGAGCTGGCACCTTCATACAGATATGCATGCAGGCAAAATACCAATGCACATGAAATAATTTTAAAAAAAATTAAAAAGACAAATAAACCCTTTCCTCCCCAATTTGCTTTAAAAAATAAATTATAAATACATAATAAAATTAAATTAATAATAGGCTGTGAAAGCAAAGACTTAGGAGTCAGTGAAACAAATAAATAGTCTAAAGGAGTCTGGAGACCCGGATTGCATCCAATTTGGGATGTCTCCCTGAAGTGTGACCATATGGTGAATAGTGTTTGATAGTGAAGAAGGGAAGCCTGCCTGCCTGGAAATGAGGATGAGAGAAAAGAGAGAGGAATGTGGAAGCCCTTGATCTGCTGCAGGCCATGTGGGAGCCTTATACTCCCTGAGGCTGGACACAGCTCTGCCCAAGTTTGAGGTCTGGGATCTCAAGCTCCGCTGACATCTCTGTAGATGGCCTCCCAGAAACCACCACATGATGTCCAGATCAGTGGCCTCATCTTGACTCACCCACCAATGGAAGCTAGGAATGCTGAGCTCTCCTCTTTTTGGGGGGATGGAGGGTGGTAGCAGGGCATAGCTCAGGCTGGCTCCCAACTCTTTGTGCAGCCAAGGCTGGCTTTGAACTGCTGCCTCTTGCCTCTGCCTCCCAAGTGCTGGAACTCTCCCTTTTCTTCACTAGCAAGATGGAGGGTGCTGGTTCTTGAGAAATGGCTTGTACCGTTCTTGTGAGGGCCTGGGTTTGATTCCCAGCAACCATATCTGGTAGCATACAACTA